ATTACGCAAAGGAAAAGTTCTCACCCAGTTCACAAATCAATACAAGTCTCGACCGGAATACTCACCAACCACAACTAACCATGCATAGAACTCAAGTCCAAGTAACAAACAAAGGGGCAACATAGGTCCTCACCGGGATAAGATACGAACATGCAAAATGTGAATGAATCACCCAATCTCGCCCAGTGTGGTCGGAACCTTTTGGCGCAAAAGATGTTCACAATCATCAACACTCAACCCTACCGTCTCTCCACCACGACGGCAACCTCTAAATGCTAGAGTTCACGGGATGGTTGTCGTCACTAGCTTGTCCAAAGGTCTTAGACACGTGTTCAAATGACTGGCAAGGGTCTTGGACATGGGTAAAGGCCTTTTGGGTGGTGGCAAGCAAAACATGAGGTTCTACGTTTCCCACCTAAAACATAAGGTTCTGTGGTATCGACTAGAACCTTTCCTACAATCAACGACCACTAGCATCGGCCAAAAACCACATTTCCCTTCTTCCAAACCACTACCAATCACAAATTACATTCAAGCACACTTCCTCGACCTATCTTGCTATCCGTGATTCTATCATAGTAGTGAAGGAGGTTAACAAACAATTAGGTGTTTCAATGGCTTGAGTGCCAAGAAACCCTTTTTATAGCATACACATAATTTCTTTATGGCAACTCTCTATCTTCATTTACCCCGTTTATTACCTCTTTTTCGATTCTTTTTTCTTCTTTCCTTTTTTTTTCGAGGGGGGTACTAGAGAGCTAAACACATGCCCTTTTTACACTTAACGAACAATGCTCTCTATTAAGAACTTTCCTCCGACACTACCTTTTCGTTCTACCTTTTCATTCCTAGCAAGAACCCTGTAAAATCCACCTATGTAGAACCTCAATGGAGCTCAAAAGCGAGAACTCCGAGACACAAGGATGACTCACAACGGTTTAGACACGAAGAAAGGAAAAGGGTCGTTCCATCAATCACCATTAAGCTCAAAAAGCAACAAGCTCCTAACATGAGAATGACCCAAAGTCATACTGCTCTAAAGGGTTGACTAGGGGATAAAATGTTCCGGGACAATCAAATTTTGGGCGTGGACTAATCATGTGCCTCCATCATACTCACTAGTGACAACAGTGAATGTTACACACCATGGCGAGAGGGGATCTATCACACATGAAAAAGACGATCGACACAAAACTTACATGGCTACCTAACTACTTAATCATCTATTCCAATTTCACAAATTTCGATGCATGGCAATTGTAATAAAAGAGTAATCAAGTCAAGACAACCATTCATTCGCACACATATGAGAACTAAACACTTGCACCAACCTAATGCAATTCTCAATCATCATAATAGGATGCACTCGGTCACAAGCAAACAATCCAAGGTCAAAGCCAATAAACAGGAGATTCTCCCACACACTGGCCACCTTAATCATGCAATGCTTGGAGCCCTCAAAATTTTCAACTTTGAGCATACATCTAGGCTCCAAGAAAACCAACTTCACACACAATCACATGCCAATCACAAATGATACACCCCCATACTTAAGCACGACATTGTCCTCAATGGAGAAAAAGGGTAAGGTGAAGAAGTTACCGAACAATGGCAAGAAAAAGTTGGACAAATAACGGAGTAGGAGAATTGAGCTTCAAAAAGAAGAAGTAAACAAAAACACACACACACACACACACACACACACACACATTCTCGCTCGAGAAGAGGTTATTACACAAAAAAAGATCAACATCACGATAAAAGGAAAGAAAAGCTCACAATAGTACTTGTTCACACCCAATGACATGATCTTGTTTCGACGGTTGCCTCAAACTTTGCTGAAGGATGTTGCCATTATGGAGCCGAGGTGGAGGAGATGATTTGGGTTCGCCATGGAAGTAAAGTCAAGGAGGGCTAACACGTTACGACACAATACCAAACAATGGCCAAGTGTAACCAATGAGTGGAAATGCAGAATAGTGGGTAAGCTTTATTTATCAATCCGGGGTCTAGATCTACTGCCTACTCCATGAAATTCTATTATCTAGCAGTAAGAGTTGAGTGATTGTGATTCTAATCTAAAGCAGAAAGAAAGCATTGAATTGTTCGGTTTATTTAGAAGAAGAATAGTCACTCGGGAATGAGTCCCCCTAGCTCCTCAGTTAGGTTCAAGTTGTAACTCCCTTTGGTTGATTATTGTTGATTAGACTGCGAAAGATCTGAAAATAGCTTGGAGTCTCTTAAGCTGACCAAGCTCTCTTAGACAGAATACCCGACAGACGACTAGCATTCACCGGAATAGACTACTAAGGCAATTCCCTATCGATTGAAGAAACCATAGCAACCTAATCAGATTCTATCTATCATAGGTTGAAGCAAAAATAAAAAAAAGTTGATAAGGATTCAATTGACTCAATAAACACACTTCAATCGATTAAAACTAATCAGTACATCATCCCAAAAGTCATTACAATCATGATCCCTAACACATGGAGCTAGGGGTGGGCATGCGATTCGGTTTTACCGAACCAAACCGAACAAAACCGACCGAAACCGAAATAAACCTTATTAGGTTCGAAATTCGGAGGGGAATATGCAACATTTTGGGAGCCAGGTTCGTTTGAACCGAACCGAACTGCCGACCGAATTTCCGAAATATAAATTAGCTACCCAGCCCAAGACCCAAGTGCCCAAGCCCAACCCTCTCTGCTCCTAGCCCAATCCTCACTGACCCAATGCCCAGCCCACCCACACCCAACAAAACAACTCTCTTGGCCCAAATCCCAACAACCCAACTCCATTCTATTGTTGATTCTCCATCTTGAGTCCTCAACCCTAGCAATTTCTAGGGAATCAAACGGAAGAAGGGAAAGGAAGCTTTGACCAAAAAAAAAAAACGAAAGGGAAAGAAAGAAGTCAAGAATTTCCGATGCACTTGCAGCGCCGAGTGCGACTCCTCCTCCACTTCCCGAGCACGGCGACGTCGACGGCCTGACCTGAGAGAGGCTGCTTCGTCTTGCTCTCGAGTCGACTCGATCCTCACCCTCGCTGCTCGCCGCTGCCCGCCAGGCACCGGTCTCCAGCTCTCTGCCTCTCGCAATCCCTCCCAGTGGGTAGTGACCCAGACCTATCCACCCAGGCAAGCACTTGCCGGCCGCCGAGTCTCCTCCCGACGTCGACGCCGAGGCAGCACAACAGGCAAAAACGGGGTGGCACTCAGCAGCTGTGTTTTTTCGGTTCTAGGCATTCGAACCGAACCGAATGCCCACCCCTACATGGAGCTACGGTTCTTCATACCCAAGTGAGAGAAAGGTTTACTCCATAGAGAGAGAGGGGGAAACAGAAATTAGAGAAATCATACTCATAATGATGTATATGATAAGCTTTGGAATGTAAATCTTCACTCCATGGTCGAAATCCAAGCTTGAATGGTGAAACCCATCTCCAAAATCGATCCTAGTGCTTGTTCTTCGTCCTTTCTCTCTCTAAAACTCAGTTTTTTTCTCTGAAAATTCGATTCTTTTCTCTTTGGCTCTAAACAGTCTGTTTAACCCGACACTGGGCAAAACACGGGCAAGGATACAACCATGTTCTGCTTAGTCCGCTTGTGTTTTGACATCTTCACGTGGGAAATAAGCTGGCTTTGGGGGATTACACGACCATCTCTGAAAACACATTCGTGTCCCCGGATGAACACGTTCATGTTTAGGATTCAACTCACCCGTGTTTTGGATTCTTCAGCAGCTCTAACGAACCCACCTTCAGCATAATAAACACTGGCAAGGCTCTCTGGTACACGACCGTGTTTTGGAAAATGTCGCCCGTGTTTTGCTCCTATCTCGACATCACACTCGCACTAAAAAGCACGGGCATACCCCCGCTTGAAACATGGTCGTGCTCCTAAGGAAAGTTGCCTGTGTTCATCTCCAGGCTCCAGCTTCACCGAATGACCTCCAAACGACCCGAAACTAGCGCTTAGGCCTTCCTTTAACGACTAGGACCCGAAATGTGACAAAAGGGGAAACCCAACATAAAATAGGCCAAGGAAACACAGGTTTGACCCAAAACGGTTAAGAAACAGGGGTGCAAACATGTGCAAATAAGACGTTATCAAATTCCCCCACACTTAATTGTTTGCTTGTCCCCAAGCAAACCAAGTCAGACACAAGGTAAGATTAATACGTTTTAACCATGCAAACTTTGGGGACATATCATATAGGAGGAAAACATGTGAATCGTATTAGCTTTTAGACATCTACACATGAATAGCAGCAACGACAACCTGGACAACCACCACAGATGACATTCGAGTGCAGCAAAATCGGGTAGAGGAAGAGTCCCCCTTCTGTTCACCGACCAACATAGACTGGATTCAACCACATATTCGAGACAGTCACCTCATGCATAAAATTCAAGACATCAGAATAAAGATCGAGCAATCTAGGTCTTCACCGGGGTATATAATATGAAATTTGAATAACTCACTCTCGACCAGTGGGGTCAGGAAAGAATTTGATGCAAGATGTGCATACTCGTACTCTCAATCCCTAACGTCTCTTCACCATGACGAAAACCTCTAAATGTTAGAGTTCACATATCGAGTGTCACCACTAACTAGTAAGGAGGTCTTAGACACGGGTTCAGATGACTGGCTAGGGTCTTGTACATGGGGAAAAGGCCTTTTAGGCGGTGGAAGAATTCATACACAAGGTTCCACTGTGAAAAAACCAAACACAACAACATTCATTCAAACTATTTACTTTCTCTCTGTTATTATGCATTAATCAAGCTCTTTAGAGCACAAGAGTGAAGGAGGTCGTTCAGGTAAACACCCTGGGTGTGGCCAAACAAAGACGACCCCAATCAAGCCTTTTTGTGTGTGATATTGTTCGAAGTTTAATTCAATCTTGGAATTGAGAGGGCTGCGCAATTCTGATCTCGCGAGACCCTACCTAGGGCTCATCATCTGGGTATAAAGATTCACCATCACCACCATCCCACATTTTTGCCTCTCCCCATCTCACCCACTACCTCTCCAGATCAACGAATCCACCATCATCTCTCTTTAATGGCGTATGCAGGAGGAAGATGCAGAAGCCCGTATATCCACTCTCCTCCTCTTGCTTCTCGTCTTTGCCTCTTTTGAAGCTTTCGAGAGATCGAGATCTCAAAATCGTGCAATCTGTGTTGGTGGTGATTAGAGGTGATCATCAAGCTGGCATAACAGATCCCAATGGTCATCTTCGCCCGACATCTAATCCAGATTCGGCGATGATGTCTGCGTACCAGATTCAGGGCTGGAACGACAGTGGCTCCTGCAAATTTTGTTGGTGTTGCGATTACGTTGACGTCTTAGCTTAATGTCTTCAATGAATTGGTACTAGAGGAGATTTATGCTTGCTCTCGGCCTTGTAGTATATCTTTCCAATTTCGACTACTTCTTCATTGGATATTGGTCATATTGAAGTAGTCGTTCCAACAAATAGAAGAAACCATCGCCAATTTCGACTACTTCTTCATTGGATATTGATCATATTGAAGTAGTCATTCCAACAAATAGAAGAAACCATCGCCAGAGTTGAGGATAGCGACGTTTGGTTCCTGTTGATCTCTCAAGGAGAAGGAACGATCTTCATCGCCGCTAGTACCGTGATTGTGGTGTCATGGTGCGATCAATTGAGGGTTCTCTCCCACGAATCAATTGGAGGGTTTTGGATGCATTGCAGTTTGAATTTGACGTTGGAAACTTTGTATGCCAGAGTTTCGATGATGTGGTGGCTGTTACACTAGGATCAAATCCATAATTACAAGGCGGTCGTGGATGACTGATGAGTTTGGTGGAGGGTGAGATGGGGTCGGCGGGGATGATTTGATGAGACGACATGAAGTTGTTGAGATGGTGAGGAGTTTCATGGATTCGAAGAACAATGAAGTGAAGGAAATGAGAGAGAGGGCGCTAGAGCTCATTGGAGTTTGTGGCAGTTGTGAAGATCTGGACCGAGGTGAAGACAGGTTCCGTCTCGGTGAGTAAGAAGAGGAAGTGTCGTATCAGGTCAAATAGAGGAAGGAGAGGAAGGGTCGGGTCACGGGTCGGGTCAAGGTGGTTGTTTTATGTGACAAGTTTTAATGATGTAGCGGGTCAGGTATAATTTTTTTGGGTTAAAATATGTCGACTAGAAGTTTTTGTTAGTCACGATTGCAAAAAAATAAACGGTGTTAACAAACACTAATGAAGAGTGACCAAACCAAAAATATTAAACTAATTTTAGTTACTACCAATGTAATAAAATATCTTTAGTAACCAAATGTGAAACTCTTTAGTAATCCCAGTGACAAAACTTGTAATTTACCCTAAAAAATGATGAAACCAAAGTCGTCAACATGAGGGTAAAATAATTCGGGTACCACTTAAGTTTAAGAATTGGATTAGACATACCCCTTAAATTTGAATAGGGCGTCGCGTAGCATTAAGGTTGTCAAAAGGTGTAGTTTTTCATCCAACCCAAACTTTTAATTACCTTTTGGTATCCAAAACTGTATTTCAACAAGTATTACGAATATAAAAATGAGAAAATCTTCTAAACATAGTATTTCTAGAATGGCTAATGGAAATTTTCAGTAAAATAGTCAAATTAGTATAAATAATAAAAAAATATCAATAAGAAATAATAAATATTTAAAATCAAGATTAAAAGATCTATTAAAAACCCTTATCCAATTAGAAGCACCACTAAAAATAGTTAAAATAGAACCTAATCTACTATCAATAAATCAAGACCAAAGAAGGATAAATGAAACACAATAAAAAATAACTAAATATATTCCAGTAATTGAAAAAGAATTAGAACGAAAAGAGAAGAAAAATAACCAAGAATAAGTAAATGGTAAAAGCTACAATATTGAGTAACAAATCTAGAAAAGAAAGTATGACTATAGGAAGGAAATTAGAATTAATAAATTAAACTAATATGGGACATTTACAATATAAGATTAGAGAATTACAAGGAGATTTAACATGGAAAATTAGACAACATCAACATGATGTAAGAGAACTAAATATGACATCCCCAAATCATTTATATTGAGACGAAATTTATAGGATATATTTAATTCAAAAAATAATTCAACTCTTACAACACATAATGATAATTGAAAATATTTACAGTGATAATTGATTATGAATTTTCTATTTAAAAATTGATTTTATATCAAAGTAAAATGGCCAATTCTGAAATTTAGAAAATAAAATATTTCAAAAATATTCTGAAAACTTTAACGAAATGCATTTAACAATAAATTTAAGTGATACCGAGTGTACATAAAATAGAATTATATGTGGCGCGAAATCTCTGTTGTGTATAACTACTCCAATTCTTATGTTTTAGTGTTACCAAGATATTTTATCCTAATAGTGAGCATGCTAATTAGGGATGGCAATGGGTCGGGTTGGGACGGGTTTTGTCAAACCCAAACCCAAACCCATGGGTTTATCGGTTAAAAAAACCCGGGGTAAAACCTGTTGGGTTTGAAAAACTCAAACCCAACCCGCTGGGTATCTGCGGGTTCATGGGTACCCGTGGGTTTTTGTGGTAAAAAATTTACAATAACAAGTTTCTTTCAAAATAATAGTTTAACATTAATTTTCTCATACAAATTATTCATACAAAAAACACCAATCTAGAGCATACAAGCAAACCGCAAATGATCAATACAAATTGATCAAAATTAAAGATAAACATCTATAAACAATAAAATTAATTGAAAGCTTCTTACTCGTCAACTAAGTTTCTTCACTCTCCACTTCATAATATCAACTTCATTCTAAACAATTAGAAACAACAAATTATATATGTCTCCACAAACATAAAGAATATTAATTGTTTAAGGAAGATATATTATTTAGAGTATTAAATATACCGGAAAAGTAATTATATGTGTGTGGGCGGGTACCCATGGGGCGGGTTTACCTAAACCCAAACCCAACCCGACCCGATGAATAGTGTAGCGGGTTTAAACCCGAACCCGGCCCAAAACCCGTCAACACCGGTAAAACCCGTGTTGACCGGGTTGGGTCGGGTGGGTACCCGTGGGTTCGGGTTTTGTTGCCATCCCTAATGCTAATCTAGAACTAACTAAAAAGTTCAGATACTGAATTACTGATGCTGGAAAAGAAAGGAAGCAAATTAAAAAAAAAAAGGAAAAGCAGAAAAGAAGCAGTCTCCGACGGAAACCAGACCGGATCCTGTGTTTGAGGCAGAGAGTGAAGTGGGGACTCTCCTTACTGTCTCAGTGTGTAAAGAGAGAGAAAGAAGGAGAGGGTGCGCGCGCGCATAAACTCCACTAATTACTTTCTTGACCGCAGCTCTACCTTGCCTTAAACCCACCACCACCCTTTCTTTCCCCTTCTCTTGCTGTATTTCCTCTCGGATCGGCCGATCTCCGGCGATCCTCCTTTTTCTCTCCTACCCTTCGCACAGTCACCCAAAACTCCGCTCCCCCTTTTCCTTCCTTTCCAATTTCTCCATTTCCCCTAGCTTTTTCTTCACTGTCATCGACTCATCTTTCTGTAGAGTGTACAGAATCCTTGCATCTAGGTCGATGGAGTTGTACGGACACAGCCAGGCAGTCAATGCGTTGCAATCGGCTCAGCAGCAAACTGAATGGAGTCCTACTGGACAGGAGACTGGTCTTGAAGGTCTGCATTTGGGTTTAATTTCATTCGCATTTCTGTTTTGATTTCTTTTTTTTTTTTTGGCGGGGATAGCTTCTTCTTCTTCTTCTTCTTCTTCGAGATGTGTAGGGTCTATGTGCTCTGGAATGCTTTGTTCTATTAGGGGTTTTGTTTCTTGGATGCAGAATCGATGTGGAGATTGGGGCTTACCAGTACCGAACCTTATCCTGAGCGACCAGGGGTTCCCAATTGTGTTTACTATATGCGGACTGGTTTTTGTGGGTACGGTGGTAGGTGCCGCTACAATCATCCTCGTGATCGCGCTGCGGTATGTTGTCTTCTTCCTTGTGTTCTTCTCATCATCGGGCATCCCTTGCTAACGCGAATGCTTTTTTCACCATTGATGTAAAAGTGGCTTCCCTTTCCTCAATTTGATCCACAGATTTGAAATGCATGCCAAAATTGATGATCCCCAGTCTATGTGAACGTTGGGTGCCGTCAAATTGGGGGGGATGACTTGAACACTCTAAGTTGTCACTTGTCTGACTATTTTCTTCATCTAACTGGATACTGAATTTGACTTGTAGTGTTAGCTTTTGGGCTGAGTGGAGAGGGATTTTCTCTAATGCAGTGACAACCTTTCCAGAAAATCTGTCACTCACATGACCTGACGTTTTTGCCTTATTAGCTTGATGCTGATTGCACAATTTAATTAGTTGTGTTATGGATCTCCATGTTGCTTAGGTTGAGGCAGCTGTAAGAGCAACAGGGATGTACCCAGAACGGGTGGGGGAGCCCCCATGTCAGGTTACGAGTGAACTGTTTTTCTGCAAACTTTTCTGTATTTTGCATTTTGCTTGGTTGTCATGTATGTGACCTTTTGGTTACTGCTATGCTGTGTATGTGCAGTTTTACTTGAAGACTGGAACCTGTAAATTTGGTGCATCTTGCAAGTTCCACCATCCCAAGCATAGAGGTGGATCCTTGAGCAATGTTACTCTAAATACACATGGATACCCAATAAGACCGGTCTGGTTTCGCTTATTGATTTTCTTTACTCTTTGTAAATAGATATTTTACCTTTACGTTGTGTGTGTTCCTGTTCTCTGGATGTCAAATTTTTTGCCCGTTGGTCTAAATCTTTTTCATTTCTTTGTTTGCTTTGCTTGCTAGGGTGAGAATGAATGCTCCTACTATTTGAAAATGGGGCACTGCAAATTTGGTATAACTTGTAAATTCCATCATCCTCAGGCAGCTGCCACGTTGACAGCATCTGCACCCCAATTTTATCAGCCGGTGCAGTCTCCTTCTATTCATGTATCTGACCAGTTTGGAGCGACTTCTACCAACTTGAGTGTGAGGCCTCCAGTTCTTCCTGGTTCATATATGCCAGGGACATATGGTCCTGTGTTGTTTTCGCCTGGAGTGGTACCTATTCCTGGTTGGAGCCCTTACTCGGTAATTTGATTTATCTCATCTGTTTTCTGATTGTTTAGAATAGTAGGATCTCTAATGGACTTCTTGCTTTTTATGGTTCAGGCACCTGTTAGCCCTGTGCTGTCTCCTGGTGCGCAAACTGCTGTTGGAGCAACTTCTCTGTATGGAGTGACACAACTGTCTGCTACAGCACCTGTGCCTGCAAGATCTTATCCTTCCCTGCTGTCTTCTGTAGCCATCTCTAGCAGTACCCAGAAGGAGCAAACGTTTCCGGAGAGACCTGCTGAACCTGAATGTCAGTACTACCTAAGAACTGGGGATTGTAAATATGGTTCATCTTGTCGATATCATCATCCTCGTGATCGTGTTGTACCCTCAACAGACAGTGTCCTCAACCCGCTTGGTCTGCCTTTGCGTCCGGTATGGGGATATCTTTATTTGCTTTCTTCATTCATGTATAAGAGTTTTTCCCCGGAAGGTCACTCTGTGGCCTTCTTCAATAAATATGGGAAATTTTCATCTCCACCCTGCCGTAAAATGTTGATTTAATGGAGACATGCACTTTAGTATAAATAAGTTGGCTGTTGATATTATCCAGGTGCACTGTGATAAACATATTCGTTGATGGAGTTTCGTCTATTTATCATGATCATGTGATAATGACGCTTGTGAGGCCTTGTGATGTGTGTATTATTATGGTGCTTTGATTGATTTGGTGATAACTTGTGATGCTTTAGATCATGGAAATTGGTTTCTTTGTTATGTGCACTTTGTTTTTGTATTAGCGATCAAAAGCTTATTTTTGTGATCAAGACAATCACTCTGCAGAAGCCTTAGCTGTACTAAGCCAGTTTATTCTGCTGCAACCAAGTAGAGTTGTTGATTTTCTATATGATCTAGTCTTAGGTTTGTTTGTTATTGAGGGGGCTTAGGCATCTGTACAGCTCACAAATGAGAGGAGTGCATGAAAGACTTGGAATCTATAGCTTACCAGCCTCTCTTCAGTCATCAATACGCGGCCATATATGTCTCATTTAAATGACATATTATGCAGCAGCTTGCAGAACTTTTGTTTTTTGACAATTGTGCTTTACATGAATGTAGTTTTGAGTTTTGTGGATCAATGTTTGACCATTTCAATTGTGAAACAGGGGGCTCATCCTTGCAGTTTCTACTTGCAAAACGGTTACTGCAAATTCGGTTCCACATGCAAATTTGATCATCCCGTGGTAGGAGCCGTGAGATACAGTCCATCTGCAGCTTCTTCTCTGGTTGATGTGCCTGTTGCACCTTATCTAGTTGGTTCTTTGCTGGCTACTCTGTCCCCTTCGTCCACTTCCTATGAGCTGAGACCAGAACTGATTTCTGGGCCCAGAAAGATAGCATATTTGAGCCAGAGTCCTCCTGGAAACACATCCAGCAGCTCTGTTGGTTTGATCTTTTCTCAGACTGGATCCGTCCCACTCCCACTTACTGATCTGCAGCTATCTGGTCAGGCATCTCTTCCTTTCGCAAATAACAGAAGCATACGACAAGGAGTTGAAATGCACCGTTCTAGTTAAGTTTGGAGGTGATTCCCGAGAGCTCTCATGTTTATAATTAGAGGTGAGTTATGCAGAGGGAGGGTGGAGGGTTTCTAGCTTGTCAGTTAAAAGCATCACATTGGTCGTTGTTTTAGTTTCTTCAGAAGCTTTGAATGTTAAGCAAATAGATATGCAGGTCTTGTTAATATGCTTGCTCTCTCCTTTTGGTTTGTCGGGGGAGTTGGTCTTACCTTCCTTTCGCAATGTGAAGCAGGACCAATCGCCTTGTAGCGCCTAGGTATTTATTTTGTAATTGTGTATTGCATAGAATATTGAATTTCTAGCTCCTTATTATTGCGAATCTGGTTAGTATATTGAACCGTCTGGAACTGTGGATCACCTCGACCTTGTGTCAGGGCTGCTTCATATATGGTGGTTTTAATTTCCATGGGTAAAGATTAATTGAATCCCTCATTTTGGGAGGGAAAGCAAGGGAGTTGGAGGAGTAACTTGAAAACCTTTGTTATTCCAACTCATGCATCCGAGACCTCCAGAAGGATCTAAAATTGGAAGGACTGATAGATCCATCCAGAGAGCGGATCCCATGACTAAGGCGGGGTCCTTAGTCACTTGACTAAGCCCCTCCTAGCCATTAGATCTGGACACTTCAATCTAATGGTTAAAAAGTGGGAAGGGCTATTTAATTAATGACAGGGGTAGTTTGGGTATTTACAATCAGTACAAACCATACAAACAGTACAAACTAGAGCGACAAAACATACAAACATTACAAACGTATGAACTGTACAAACAATACAAACTAGACCGACAAACAATACAAACCATACGAACTGAAAAAACACCCGGGTTGACTTTGGAGGCTCCATCCCTATATAGAGGGGCTCCTTCCCAAAGTCAACCCGGGTGTGTTTTAGACATACAAACAGTACGAACATGGTGGAAAAAAATGACAAACTATACCGACAATCCATACGAACTGAAAAAAAAACCCGGGTTGACTTTGGAGGCTCCATCGCTATATAGAGGGGCTCCTTTCCAAAGTCAACCAGAGTGTTTTTTAGACATAAAAAACATTACAAACATGTTTGACAAAAATGATAAACACGATACACAAAAATAACAAAGTTTACAAACATTACAAAAAAAAAACCGACAAACATTACAAAATAACAAAGCGTACAAACATTAAAAAAAAACGACAAACATTACAAAATAACAAAGCGTACAAACATTACAATATAAACCGACAAACAATACAAAGCATACTAACAATACAAAATCTCTCTCTCTCTCTCTCTCTCTCTCTCTCTCTCAATACACGCGAGGGTCGAGGGAGATAGCTGCGATTTTTTATTTATTTTAATTGTTAAATAAATGAAATGTATAATTACCATCTTATCCTTCATTAAACTAGATAAATTAGGACCATTAGATTTTAATGAGGTTGAGTGGCTGAGATTGGCTTAGTCATGTGACTAAGGGACCCCCCCTTAGTCACCTGATCTTAGCCCATCCATCAATCACGGGGTACGGGGTTAATTGTATGGCTGGTCACTGGGATTATAAAAAGCGTTCAAGTTTGGTTACTCGAAATATTTAAATCTATTGGTGGTACTTCAATTTACTAAACCGTTCACGTTTGGTCACTCTCCGTCCAACTTCGTTAACTTTTATTTATGTGGAGGTCAACTTTAAAAGTTGACCGTTAAGTGAGTGATGTGGCAATTAAAAAATTAATAAAATAATAAAAATTAATACTTTATAATTTCCACCTCATTTCTAACTATTAAAAAGATAAAAACAAAATTACAAATTATAAGTGAGTGATGCCCGTCCAATATGGCCAGAATTCTCCAAATCCCTTCCACAACGTCTTCAGGGAGAGGCTCTGCCCACTAACCTCCAGCCCATTGGCGATCTCTCTCACTTGTTCCTCGCGAAACGCCCCCATGCTCCCGAAGTAGAGGAACACCACCGTCGACTCCGGTTGCCGGTCAAGCCACTCAATCACCTCCTCCTTCTTCGTTCCACCGTCGCCGTCGCCCTTCAGATTCAGAATAGGTCCCACCGGATACACCTTAGGGAAAGAGGAGAGAGCATCCACCGCGCAAGATTCCAGCTCTTTCACCGAATTGACCAAAGTCCCTTTAGTTCTCATGAAATCTCTCGCGATTCTGTAGAACGATTGGATCAATTCCTTCTTCACGACGTTGTTAGGGAAAGCCCAACGCGAAATCGGGTTTGCCCAACTCGGCACGACCAACTCGGTCCCCTCGAACTCGGTGATTTCGAACCCTTCATCGCCGTCGTGCGAGGTCTGGATGTGGAGGATGAAGTCGAGGATGGAGGCTGGGGAGGTGAAGAAGATGAAAGAGGGGACGCCGAATTCTTCGGCGACGTCGACTATCGAGGTGCAGAACATGTCGAGGACGAATCCAGCGAGTCGCGCACCGTCGGGGAAGCGGCCGATTGCGGCGGAGACGACTTCCCTGACTCGAGGCTTTTGGGTTTCGATCAGGGAGAAATCGCCGTCGGCGGCGGGGGGTGGGTCGTCGTTGGGGAGGTGGAGTAGAGTGAGGCGAGGGGAATCGGCGGGGAGGGAGCCGGTGTAGCAGGTTATGGCGACGACGGTGGAGGGGGTGGTGATGATTAGGAGGTAGATGGAGAGGGCGGCGTGGCGGTCGATTAGGAGGTTGACGGTGGTGTTCCTCTGCTTCGGGAGCATGGGGGCGTTTCGCGAGGAAAAAGTGAGAGACATCGCCAATGGGCTAGAGGCCAGTGGGCAGAGCCTCTCCCTGAAGACGTTGTGGAAGGGATTTGGAGAATTCTGGCCAGATTGGACTGACATCACTCACTTATAATTTGCAATTTTGTTTTTATCTTTTTAATTGTTAGAAATGAGGTGGAAAATAAAGTATTAATTTTTATTATTTTATTAATTTTTAATTGTCACATCACTAACTTAACGGTCAACTTTTAAAGTTGACCGCCACATAAGTAAAAGTTAACGTAGTTGGACGGAGAGTGACCAAACGTGAACGATTTTAGTAAATTGAAGTATCACCAATGGATTTAAATATTTAGAGTGACCAAACTTGAACATTTTGTGTAATCTTAGTGACCAAGCATGCAATTAACCCCATCAATCACAGATACCCTCCCCTCAACCTTATCACTCTCTAATCTGCGCATCCATTGATGAACATAATTATTGTGGCACTTGCTGTCATTTCTTGTAAGAAGATGGCAGTAGGAATGACAATGGGTTTGTTGGGTGGGTATCTCGATACTCATACTCGTCTTGTGACAAGTCGGGTAATTGATCATGAGGTGCGGGTCAGGGTAGTCAACTCAATGGGTATGTAATTTATAAGGAGATGGTAGTAGGGATGACAATGAGGCAGGTCGGGGGCGGATAACTCGATATCCATACCCACCCTGTGATAGATCGGGTGGAATCGGGTAATTAATCATGAGTCACAGATCGAGGCAATCGATCCAATGAGTATGTTTTTTTAAGAAAAACATTAGAAATATCCGTTATTTTCACAAAAAGACAAAGAAACAAATCATAATATAATATATATTGTTAAATTATTATAGAAATTGAGGTTTTCACTTAATTAAATATTTATTATAGCACAATATGGGGTAATTGACTCGTTCTAAATATCACAATAAAACTCCCAATTAGGGCCCAAGTATAAACCTTAATTGAGTGCAATGTAGGACAAGTATGTTTAAATATCAAACCGGACCGGTCCATGTACCCCTACTTCGATTATTTGAAACATTATCGAGCAATTGGTTATTTGATTGAAAACTACGATCTACTACTAAAGCGGTTGTAAAAGTAATTGGTTTTGACTCTTAAAATGAGAAGGATTCACTCGGGTGTAGCTCCCCCTAACTCGCTACCATGTCTTGTCAGAATGACTGAAAATGTGTGGTGGAGGTGCCTGAGAACCGTAAGAAGTGTAGCTAGTGATGAAACATCACTCTCTTGGTCTTTAGGCCAAGGAATTCAGATTAAGCTACCAAGGTAGCTCTCTTGGCCTAATCAACTAAGGACTACCAAACCTTCACTCTCGAATCGGAATTCGGAAGACCAAAACACAATCAACCAAGGTGCCAACACAAACAAGGAGGTATGCCCTACATTAACCTAGATAGGAGACATGATTTGCCTAACATAACCAAGCTTTGCAAGCCTTTTTAACAAAAGGGAGTTTTTTCTCTACCTAGGTTAGAATGACAAATAGATTGATAGGCAAACACACAACACAATTTTCCATGAAAATACCTCCAAATTCGTATTAAAACACACCCACACATAGACAATCATTTCATGGTAGAAGTTAGGGTTTACAAACACCCAAGTGAAAAGGGAAACTACTCCATGATAGGAGAGGAAAAAACACAAGGAGAAAGAATAAAAACCATCATGGAGATGCTTGAATCCTTCCTTGTGTAGAAGATATCTTCCTTTGGCGAAGATTTTCCCAAATCCTTGCCTTGGAGTAAAACCCTAGCTTCTTCCTTCTTTTTGCTCTTCACTTTCTCTCTAGAATGTTGAAGAAGAAGAAGAAGGTTTTCTCACTCAAGATCTCCTTAAGCTCAAGCCTCCTTTTATACCCAGGTCGGGCTCACTTCACGTCCCAGTTCACAGCCGTGAACTCAAGGTGGTAACCGTGATCTCGGGCCAAAACGCGCTGCATCACAAACTCAGTTCACGGCCTTACGACCGTGAACTGGCTTGAGTCCAGTGAGAACCAAAATTTCTCTGAACGCCTGGCGGTTCACGGTTTGCGGCTCCAGTTACCGTGAACTCACTGCTTCCACCGTAATCTGTTAATGCCTCCATCCTTTGACCCGATTTTGCGCCTTATCGTTCAACTTTCGACTCCGGGGTTGGTTCCACCTGCTATAGACTGAAATGCACAAAAAATGAGAAAAAACCCAACGTAAAATCAAACCTCCCGGAGTATAAATGCTTCAAACGACTAAGAAAACCGGGGTAAAAAGTGTACAATTAAGCTCGAATTAGTAAAAAAAAGGAAAATCCTATGCAATTTGACTAATATTACATGTAGTTTAGGCAACAACAGGTCGAGAATGGGGTGGTTAAGGCAAGTCGGATCGATGAGAGTACTCATGCCCGCCCCGCCTCAAAACCTGCCAAACAGGTAAGATAAAACGGATCAGGTCTAAATTATCATTTTGGACACTTGAAGACAATCGTCTGACGATAAGACGTGAAATACACTCTTTTTGGAGGTACCCTAACAACCGTTGTGCATTTTCTTACTTTCCTAAAAAAAATTGCATGTTTAATATTGTTTTAGTTAGTATTTAAAGTTTTAACTAGTGAATGAATCCCTACTATGCCAAGAATAGAATCAATTATTGTTTGGAGATTATCTAGGTTCTTAAGGAATGGTTGCAAATATTGTGTTGTTGCTAAGTATGTTGTTCTAGCCTATCATCTTAATTATCTAGGTTAGGAAATGGCATGGATAGTGCAATAGGATCATAAAATGTATGCTTATGAATGTGTATGTGTATTTGGAGGCCTTGGTGGGCTTGATTTTTATGAATTTGTGGAGTTTGAATTGTTGCCCACCAAGTGCTTGATGAAATGTCCAAACCACATAAAACTTGTTTTTCTTGAGCCAATGCTTTTCAATTGAACTTGTTCGACTAAGATAGACCCTTAGGAGTGTGTTTTTTTACTTGAGATTGAATCTTGGATGCATGATCCTTGAGTTTGCAATTTTGGCTCACTATTGATTTTGTGATTCGATATGCATTTAGGTCCATTAGTTCTAACATTGGTTGTTGTCTCATGAGTTGATTCTAGACTTCACCCGAGATAGAGAAACCTCTAGAAAGACATGATACCTTGTTTTCATGCATTGTGACCTCAACCCTAGTCATCACAACATGAATTTCTATCTATGCACCTCAAGTTCTACATGGTCACACTTAAGTGTAGGGGTGTATAGAGTTGACCTAACGATGGATTTAGTCATTTTAATTGATCAAGTAAGTTTCTAATGGTTTGTTTGGACATATTTTTTTATATTTCTCTTTTGAGGACGATCCAACGGAAGGTAAGAGGTTCACCCTCTGATCCCTCAACAACGAAGAAATTGGAACCACCCATGATGAGAATAATCACAAGTCCGAAGAGAACAACCATGACCACAAATTGAGGAGAAACCACAGAAAAAGCAACCAACGAAGGCATCTATTGATTATGGTGGAACACCCTCACAAGCAATAGCTTTTGAAGTGCAACTACCATATGCTCCAACCGTACATCAAAGGAAACTTGGCATTCGAGGGATGATTTCTATCTTTTCTTTCTTTTTACTTTATTTTATTTAGCTTTCAACAATGTTTTATCTTTCCGTTCTCGGTATTTAGACTTTAAATACTTAGTATGTGTAATAACTATATTTTTTTGTGGTAGATTAATTTATATATTTAGTGTTTGGATAACCTTTTCTTCCTCTCTTGTGTGTGTGCTTGAATGTCAAATCTCTATATCAATGAAGACCTACACTTGTGCACCCCAATCAACCCAAAAACCTCTATGGTAACATCTCTTGAACCCTACCTATTGCTCCCACATTGAGGACAATGGGTCTCTTAAGTGTGTGTGTGTGTGTGGGGGGGGGGGGGGGGGGGGGCATTGCATGCTTGAATGAGTTCATGTCTTTTCCCTAGTTGGTAGAAGCCTCCATATGATTATTAATGTAAGACGTTGATGATATTGTGTGGGAGTGTTTGCTATCGATTAGTTGTGTTTTGTGGTGTTGATTGGCTTAGAATTTGTGTTTGGAACCTTGATGATATACCCAAAAAAATTCAAATATGAGGGTTCCAAACATCTCGTCCCTAGCATCAACATCCCCAATGTGATTTGAATTGCTAGATAGTCAATATGATGTGCTTTTTAGGGAGTAGTTTGCATTTATAAGAATTTTTAGTGTATGAGAAGTTTTACTCTTAACTTCCTCTTAGGTGAGTTGATAATATTTGCTACTTTGGTAAATACATGTCTGCGGGACTTTCTACTATTTTGAACTAAAAAAACGTATTCAAAATGTGCGAAACTTTGAATTTTTTTTTTGAAAATTATAGTTCTCACATGAGAGGCAACCGGGCATAATGTTTGAGTTGAGCCATCGAAGGGCTCTTCTCCCGGTCCGGAGTGCCATTTGAGGATATGTTTGGGATTCAGATAGTTTTACCGCATCTCAATCATCTTTTACTATCTTCCTTTCCCTAAACATCTCATCCTCACAGGCTCGTAGGACAAGGTCCAAAGTTCCTTTTAGCGAGTCACAAGACCTCAGTTGTCGTTTACACTCGACATGTGTGGCAACCCGTCTATCGTTGAAACATGGATTGCAGGCTGGGAACTGGTTCTTGGGCAATGGATTCTACCATCAAGTTCCCAACATGGGGCCGAGAAAGGGAAGGCAATGTCATTTTGCTCTTGATCGCAAGGGAGAGATGCCTATTTGCAATGTTTGGTGCCAAGTGCTCAACAAGTTTAAAAAAGAGACTCAAAACAATAATTCCTACCTTGAAAAGTAAGTGTAAAGATCACCCTCTAAGAGTCCATTGCTTTTATTGTTTTTAAGAGTCTCCGATTGCATACCTTGAATGTCTTAACGTACTTTGTAGACATGGTCCTCATCCAGGAGTTTGTGTTTTCACAGTGAGATGGGAGTAACGTTCACTTGACCTCGACTTCTCTAACTAGTGAAGCGAAGAACTATAGTGCATACCATGTTGATTTTTTTATCAAGTTGTACTTGTTTGAGTAGGTTTGGTTGGGGACAATCAAACACCTAAGTGTGGGGGAGTTGATAACACCCAAATGATGTTATTTAGTCTTCATATTTTGGGTCATTTTGAGCCATTTTGTGGTCTTAATGTTTGATATATCATCAAATACATCCCAGTTTTGTTCCACGAAGAGCATATTGTCACTTTAGGGTGTTTTAGATTATATGAATGTTTTAGATACGAAATGGGGTCACAAGTGTAGAAAAGGGGGCCAAAGTTGAGTTCGCAGCTGAAGGAGTAAAGATCACAACCAAGCTGTAGGAGCGTGAAGTAAAGCAGCTAAGATCATGGCTTGAAAGCCAAAGATTGAAGCCACGAACTATGGAGCTTCAGGTGCGAACTTGAAGATGCAACCATCAAGGGAGGATCAAAGATTCTTGACAGTCGACTCGCGACTCATGGCACTGTGAAGTCAAGACTCAATCTCCAAAGCCAGACAGGACCAAAGTTTTCGAATCCCAAATCACCACCTCTC